GGGAGTCTCAGGACCAGAACCCCAAACAGGTGGGGGGGGGGAAATGGGGGGGGGGGGAGATGAGGGGGATCCCGGTCCTCCAGAGTTCTTGGGGTGACTGCGTGCAGGGGTTATTTCCTGCCGGAGCACAATGGAGTGGCGCTCCGGCAGAAAGGAGCCCGCCCGCTGCCATTCCTGGCCCATCTGCACAGGCGGATGGGCCAGGGAAGCCCTCCAGAGCCCCCCCCCCGCCGCCGCCTGGGGTGATTTAAATGCCTTTCTTTCCCTTCCCCAGATGGGGAAGGGAGAGAAAGGCATGCTTGCGTCATGCCTGCACTTTGTCAGGGGGTGTGGCATATGCAAATGAGTTGTGCAAATGAGCTCCTGCACCCCTTTTCTACAAAACGACCCCTGGCTGCGTGAGCCACGGGTTGCTCCCCATCAGCCCCAGAGCCTCCCTTTCTGCTGGGCCACTGAGGGCCACAGAGACCCCCGCAAGGCGAGCTGCTCCCTCTGACTAGAACTCCAGCCCCTCCCAAGAGGGTCCCAGCTAGAGGACACTGTATCAGTGAACCTTCACCCCCCCAATGCGCCTCCTCCCGCAGCTCAAGGCCTTTGCGCTGGACCTGGGCGGAGTGACCCTGGAAGACCCCACCGATCTGGAGATCGTGGTCATGGACCAGAACGACAACCGGCCACTCTTCCGGCAAAACGTGTTCTCTGCGCACGTGGTGGAAGGAGCAGTCCCAGGTGGGTGGGCCGGGCTCTCCGGCGGCTCTTCTTTGCTGGGGCCAGGCCACTCTTCTGACTGCTGGCCCTCCCAGATACCTATAACCCTGGGGACACTGAGGCACGATGGCGTTGCACTTCCCCAGTCCGAGGAGTTGCTGCCACCCCCCCCAGCTCCCCCCCCAGCAGTGTACATGTGCCGCTTGTGCATGGTTGCGGGATGTGCAGCCCAGTCCCAGGCGCTTCCTACTCTGAAGTCCGGCGCCGTGAGTTCAAGGGGGCTTGCCCCCCCCCAGCAGTGTACATGTGCCGCTTGCGCATGGTTGCAGGATGTGGCAGCCCAGTCCCAGGTGCTTCTTACTCTGAGGTCCAGCGCCGTGAGTTCAAGGGGGCTTGTTCCTGAATAGGCATGCCAGGGCTCCGGATCTCAGTTCCAAGGCTGCCAACTCCTGCTTGGGAATTTGCTGGAGATTTTGGAGGTGGAGCTTGGGAAGGGCGGGGCTTGAGGAGGGGGGGAGGGACCTCAGCGGGGCACTATGAGGCCACAGAGCCCACCCTCCAAAGCAGCGATTCCCTCCAGGGGAACTGATCTCTGTCGTCTGGACATCAGCTGTGAGCTCCTACCTGGAACTTGGCAGCTCTTGTAGAAGCTACCTGGTTGCTTGGGGGGGGGGCATGAAGGCAGGACGCAACTCCCAGGGCCTCGGAGGGTAGTTGGGCCATGAGGTCAGAGGCCTCAAAACGGAAACCAAAAAAACCGCACGGGGTGGGGGGGGGGGGGGGGCGACGAAGGCAGGACGCAGCTCCCAGGGCCTTGGAGGGTAGTTGGGCCAGGAGGCCAGAGGCCTCAAAAAGGAAGGCAAAAGGAGTCAGGTCCCCCCGAGTAAGAGGGTAGAGGCTTGCAGCTTTCATACTTACAGAAGGGCCTTTTGAAAACACTTCTGTTGCCCCAGAAGGTCGGACCAGAACCAAGGGGTTGAAATCAAATCAGGAGAGCTTTTGGTTAAACATTAGGAAGAACTTTCCGACAGAGTGGTTCCTCAGTGGAACAGGCTTACTCCGGAGGTGGTGGGCAGAGCTCCCTCTTTGGAGGTTTTCAAACAGGCCAGATGGCCACGTGACAGCAATGTGGATCCTGTGAACGCGGGCAGATCATGAGAAGGAGGGCAGGACGGGTTGCCTCAGTGCTTAGTTCTCATGGCCCTCTCGTACACGCCCAGGGAAATGCTGATCGCCACTTTGGGGTCAGGAAGCAATTGTTCTCCAGGCCAATTTGTCTGGAGATCCTGGAGATTTTTTGGTCATCTTCTGGGTATGGAACAGCAGTCACTGCGGGTGTGGGGAAGGTATTTGTGAATTTCCTGCCGTGTGGGTGGGGGGTGGACTAGATGACCCTGGAGATCCCTTCCAACTCTATGATTCTATCTGAATAAGAAGTGCAAAATCCCTGTAAGGTCGGCCAGCAATCAAACCAGAGATTAGCTCAATTCACGTCCAGGAGAGACCAGCAGTGTTTCCCAGGGTGTGGGCTTTTGGGAGTCAGAGCTCTCCTCATTGGGCACGCACTGGTCGGTCAGGTGCTCCTGGACACAAACTGGGCTCTTTCGCTGCCGACCGACCGGGCGGCCCTCTCTAGAACAAACTACAGAGTCTGTGAACCTGCCAGCATCTCACACGGAACAAGACAGGAGCACGAGAGGCGCTCGGGATATGGAACTGGAATCGTTGCCTTTCCCCCCCTTCTGTTTTTAAAATTCTTGTCACATCTGCCTGTTGAGGGGTTCTGAAGGGCTCGAAAGCTCGCACACAGTGCTTTAGCATCATTTGTGTCGGCCTCCATAAAAGGTATCACGTGGATTTTTTCTTTTGTTTCCCCAGTCTTTTTTTTTTTGGCCCTTTTATGTCATCTGATGGAGGGTTCAGTCGCTGCGTATGAGACATGGGAGCTCGTCCCTGCTTAGCCAAATTCCAGAGGAGGGGGCTTTCAGAAAGGCCTTCAGCCCCAGCACCTTTCTCATGGGAAATTGGTACCCTGAGAACATCGGAATGATGTTAATGCAAACCCAAAGCACCCCTTATTCCCACTCTCAGCTGTCCGGGACCAGCTGCGAAAGGGAACTGAGCTCCTAAGGAGCCCTGAAGTCTCACCACGGCTCAGGAACAGTGTTCCCTCTCAGCTGAGTTAGCGTGAGCCAGCTCACAGTTTTTCAGCCTCCGGTTCACACATTTTTTTGTCTTAGGTCAGGACGGATGGCTCCAGAGAGCAAACTAATTTATGCATCAGCCAAATTGCCGGCTCACAACTTTAACGCCCGTAGCTCACAAAGTAGAATTTTTGCTCACAAGACCCCACAGCTTAGAGGGAGCATTGCTCAGGACCTTCTGGCTTCTCAGGTACCTTCGTGATGAAGGCCGAAGCGACGGATGCAGACGACCCCGAGACTGACAACGCGGCGCTGAGATATTCCATCTTGGAGCCTGCCGTGAATGGCGTCTTTGAAATGGATGAGCTCTCTGGGGAGATACGGACGGCTCAAGTCCGACTTGACCGGGAGGTACCTGCCTCTTTCCTTGGGCTTCAGTGGGGGCTACATGCCTTGGGGGCCATGGGGGGGAGACACCACACCCAGGGCCCTCTCTATGGCAAGGAGGAGCCTCCAGGGCCACGCAGTCAGCGCAATGGCTGCAAATTGGGCCCAAAGCAGATCCGGCAGGGGGGAAAATATGCCTCATTTGAATTGGTGCAAAGATGTCTAACGGAGGTTCTTCTCATAGCACCTTTTTCTTAATGCGACTGAGACTTTTCGGGAAAACCCATCAGGCCTCAGAAGCCTTGAACCTGGCAAGATAAATCCAGGTGGGAGGCCGTGTTGCTCCGAAGCAGTAGAACAAAGTCTGAATTCAGTAGCACCTTTAAGACCCCAAAGTTTTATCCAAGCTATGAGCTTCCGTGTGCATGCACACTTCTTCAGATACTTGCACGGGGAAGCTCATACCTTGAATAAAACGTTGTTGGTCTTAACGGTGCCAGTGAATTCAGACTTTGTCCTACTGGCAAGATAAAGTGTGTCCTTTGTTGTCATTCACTTCCTGTACGGCTCCACCTTCCGCCCTGAGACTCAAGGCAGATTACAAAGTATAGAAAGCAATTTAAGCAGAAAGCAAAGATCTCCAGTAAGCAAGGCGGTGGGACTAGGATTATATGTGAGCAGGTGCTGCGAAGTCACAAGCGACTGACGGCCATCTCAGCGAGGGGGGAAAAACAATGCAAATGAAAACTGGTCTCAGATATGACCAGCCACAATGAAGAAAGGGGGTTACTAAGGTAGAGGATTGGGCCTTAAGAAGTAACCCTCCAGGGGAGACTAGATCGACTGTGCTTGCCGGAAAAAGAGTTAAACCAGCCCTACCCCCCCCCCCCACTTCCAGAGCCAAATTAGGGTTTGGTGTTTTGGTCATGCAACTTCAGGGTCAAGTATTGTTTGTCCCGGTATGTGCCTTGACTTCGCTTCTCATGGTTGGGGGGCAGAGAAGCCAGCTTTGGTTCACTGAACAGGGTGCCTAACGGGGGGGTGGGGGGCGTTGCTCCTCCCTTCTTCCTGGGCCCCTGACCCCTGTCTGGCCCTGTCTGCGCAGGTCGTTGGCGTTTACAACCTGACCCTCCAAGCGGCTGACATGTCTGGGGAGGGGCTCACCACCACAGCAAGCGCAGTGATCCACGTCGACGATATCAATGACAACCCCCCTGAGTTCTCTGCAAAGGAGGTAGGGAGCCGGCCCACGGGGCCCAACGGAGCAGTGGCAGGATGAGTTCTGGGGTGGGGTGATGGCTTGCAGGGCCAGGAAGCCTTTCTCTGAAGGCTTAGCAGCTTGGGGGGTGAGGGTCACGGCAGGAGGGGCCTCTGCCACAAGAGAAACAGGAGACTAGCAGTGCTGAAGGGACACCCCCCCCATCCTCCACCCATCAGACAGACACAGCAGAGACCCAGCTCGGTGTAGTGGTTAAGTGCGCGGACTCTAATCTGGGAGAACCGGGTTTGATTCCCCACTCCTCCGCTTGCACCTGCTGGATGACCTTGGGCAAGTCATCGTTCTGGCAGAGCTGTTCTCTCAAGATTTAAAACCGCACTAACCCCCCCCCCCCAACTTCCAGAGCCAAATTAGGGTTTGGTGTTCTGGTCATGCAACTTCAGGGTCAAGTATTGTTTGTCCCGTTATGTGCCTTGACTTCGCTTCTCATGGTTGGGGGGCAGAGAAGCCAGCTTTGGCTCACTGAACAGGGTGCTTAACGGGGGGGGCGCTGCTCCTCCCTTCTTCCTGGGCCCCTGACCCCCGTCTGGCCCCGTCTGCGCAGGTCGTTGGCGTTTACAACCTGACCCTCCAAGCGGCTGACATGTCTGGGGAGGGGCTCACCACCACGGCCAGCGCAGTGATCCACGTCGACGATATCAACGACAACCCCCCTGAGTTCTCGGCAAAGGAGGTAGGGAGCTGGCCCACGGGGCCCAACGGAGCAGTGGGAGGATTAGTTCTGGGGTGGGGAGATGGCTTGCAGGCCCTGCAGGCCCCCATCCCCCACCCATCAGACAGACCCAGCAGAGAGCCAGTTTGGTGCAGTGGTTAAGTGTGCGGACTCTAATCTGGAAGAACCGGGTTTGATTCCCCACTCCTCCGCTTGCACCTGCTGGATGACCTTGGGCAAGCCATAGTTCTCTCAGAGCTGTCCTTGAAAAAGAGCAGTTTCTGTCAAGAGCTCTCTCAGCCCCACCTACCTCACAGGGTGTCTGTTGTGGGGAGGGGGAGGGTAAAGGAGTTTGCCAGCCGCTCTGAGACTCCGAGTGAAGGGCGGGGTATGAATCCAATCTACTCCTCTTCTTCTGGATATGGTGCAAAAGTGACTTGCTCGGATGTTGTGGCGGCCCAGGCATGCTGCTTGAGGCCTCTCTTCAGCCTCCGTGCCAGACGGCACCTGGCCGGGGCACTTTCCAGACCGAAACAGGGTCCCAGAGCACCTGAGACTCTGGCCTGCCCTTCCCAGGGGTGCTCAAAGCCCCCCACCCCCAATCTCTCACAGTTCCTCCTGGAGGCCCCGGAGAACAAGGAGGGCGTGGTCGTTGGGCGGCTGATGGTGCAAGACAAGGACCTCCCCGGCTCCCCCAACTGGCTGGCCAAGTTCACCATCCTGGAAGGGGACCCCGAGGGTGCTTTCGCCATCCAGACGGACCCCCACACCAACGACGGCATCGTCTCTCTCGTGAAGGTGAGGACTCTCTGCTGTCAGGCTCAGACATGGAATATGGCAGAAGCAATGAGCGCCTCTGAGAATGTGCAGGGTACATTCTGCCTCTCATTGAGTGAGCACAGATTCTCTGGAACGCACATAAGGCTGCCTTACCCCGAATCACACCCCGCCCCCAGTATTGTGTACTGTTGATGGGTCTCTCTATACGGGACCACATCCAGCCTGTCCTGAAGGCACTGCACTGGCTGCCAATAGCGTACCGGATCCGCTTCAAGGTGCTGGCTTTGACCTTTAAAGCCCTATATGGTCAGGGACCTGCCTACTTGAGGGACTGCCTTTCCCCACATGTGCACCAGAGAGCACTAAGGTCAGGGACACAGAATCGCCTGACTCTTCCTGGCCCGAGAGACGTCAAGTTGGTGGCCACTAGAGCCAGGGCCTTTTCAGCGGCGGCTCCACGCTGGTGGAATGAGGTCCCGGATAACATCAGGGCCCTGCGGGACCTTTTACAGTTCTGCAGGGCCTGTAAAACGGAGCTCTTCCGCCAGGCTTTCGATTAGGGGCCGCCACTGATGAGTGGGCCGCTGGCAAATGTGCCACTGACGCATGCACCGCCGGAGTACATTTTGGCCCGCATGAAACACCAACTGGTTATTGCCTTTGTTTGCATATTATGCACTGCCATCTTTATCACCGGTACTGTTTAGTTGCTTAGGCTTTGTTGTATATTTCATTGTATTTTAATGTATTTATTCTTTTAGTGCATTAATGTCGTTAGCCGCCTTGAGCCAGTTCTGTGGCAAGGCAGGATAAAAATGGAAGCAAACCAATAAATAATAATAAAATACTCAGACTGGCAGGAGCTCTCCAGGGTCCCCGGGCGGAGAGAGCTCTTTCACACCACCGGTTGTCTGGTCCTTCTTTAGTGGGAGCTGTCAGGGATCGAACCTGGGACCTTTTGCAGGCCAGGCTGGTTGTCTCTGAGCCAAAGCCCCTCCCTTCTTTTGTTCCCCCCTCCCCATCTGGAGTTAGAAGGAAGGACTTCCAGCGCTTCACTCCTCCTGCCCAGCCGGAGCCCTCAAGGGGGTAACTGCTGGAGGTGCCAGGAATGTCTCTCCCTCTCTCTGCTCCCCTCGCCAGGCCCTGGACCACGAGCGACGGGACCGTTTTGAGCTGCTCGTCTCCGTCCAGAACCAAAGTCCCCTGGAACTCTCTGCCCCGAAGGCTGCCAGGGCTTTGGCTACCGTGCGGGTGCGGGTGCTGGATGCCAACGAAGCCCCCTTCTTCCGGGAGAATCCCTGGAGGGGGAGGGTGGACGAAGGGGCGCCCCCTGGCACTGAGATCACCGTCTACCGCGCAAGCGACCCTGACACCCACCAGGCGCAGGAGCTCAGGTGAGTCTGACCTGGAGGGGCCCGGAAGCTTCCAGGAACTGCCAGCCCTTGATCAGTCCCAGGATGCACTGCAGGGTGGAGAGGGGAGACAGCAGGATTCCTCCTCGGAGGGAGTGGGAAATACTCTTGCTGTCACTGAGAGGAGGGCAGGGAGCTGTTCCTGTGGGCGGCAGAGGAGAGGACTCGCAAGAATGGGTGTAAATTAAGGGCTGGAAGGTACCGGTTGGAAATTAGGGAAAACCTTTTGACAGTCAGAGTTGTGCCACAGTGGAACCAGCTGCCTCTGGAGGTGCTGAGCTCCCCCTCCCTGGCCGTCTTCAAGCAGCATCTGGACAAACCCTGGTCAGGGATGCTCTAGGCCAGTGGTGGCGAACCTATGGCACGGGTGCCAGAGGCGGCACGCAGAGCCCTCTCTGTGGGCACGCGTGCCATCGCCCCAGCCAGGCCCAGACCATCATTAAAGTGTCGAATTCTCTGTCAAATAATTTTAAGTAAATGAAAGCATTTGGGATTGCTTTCCTTACTCTGTTTGGATAATCTTAAGTTAATGTATGAGTTGTTTTTTCTAAAGTAAAACCTCAGTATTCAGGTTAAATTGCCGTGTGGGCACTTTGCAATAAATGTGGGTTTTGGGTCGCAGTTTGGGCACTCGGTCTCTAAAAGGTTCGCCATCACTGGTCTAGGCTGATCCTGCACTGAGCAAGGGGTTGGACTAGACGGTCTATGGTTCTAAGGACCAGTAGCATGGATGCTTCTCGACTGGGCTGATTCTGTGCTGTGTATTTATGTATCTGAGTTCATCTTCCCGCTCCTGCGTAACCAGTGCCCCCCCCCCGCCCTCTATAGCTGGGATTAGGAAGGCCTTTGGGGTCCTTGAGGGGGCTTCCCCCAGGGGGCGGCGAGTGGGATGGCTGGAGAACAAGCAACTCCCCACCCAGCCCACTTGCAGAGTCCAGGTTGCTGGCCAGCCGGAGACGGTCTTCTTGCTGAGCGGGAACGATCCCGCGATCCACCTGTACAAAGAGGTGAGACCGTCAGGAGACGTTGCCTCTCTGGCCCTCTCTCTCTCTCTCTCTCTCTCACCTGCCTGCCTCCCCAGGTACTCGCAGGCCTCCAACCTGGACAGCTGGCTCCAAGTCGACGCCGAGTCTGGCCTGGTGCGCACACGCGAGACGGTGCCTCCCCGGGCAACCTTCCCAGAGGGGTGGTACACCACACAGATCCTGGCCTGTGACAATGGTAAGAAGGTTGCTCCGACGGGAGAGGAGGAGGAGGAGAAGCCGGAGCGGGTCTGGCCCAGAAACAGGCAGGGGGTGGCTGCTGATCTTGAGTGCACAAAAACACAGAGGAAAGCCACGGGGAGGCATGTGGGTTTTGGGGGCAGAGGCTCTTCTCAGCCAGAACCCACTTTGCTGGATGTGTGAAGCAGCAAGCTCCGTTAGCAGAGATATAGCCAAATAGACGCGCACACACGGAAGGCGGCTTTTTGCACGGATGTTGCTGCCACTAGGGGTCCTTTCGTAGAAAAAGAGGTGCAGGAGCTGATTAGCACAACTCATTAGCATAACTTATTTTCATATGCCACACCCCCTGACATCACCGGAAGTGTGAAGGCAACACCCACCACTCAGGCTCCACTGGACTGTTTTGGATTGCTAGCTATTGGGGGGGGGGGCGTGCAGACCTGCCACTAGGGGTCCTTTCGTAGAAAAAGAGGTGCAGGAGCTGATTAGCACAACTCATTAGCATAACTTATTTTCATATGCCACACCCCCTGACATCACCGGAAGTGTGAAGGCAACACCCACCACTCAGGCTCCACTGGACTGTTTTGGATTGCTAGCTATTGGGGGGGGGGCGTGCAGACCTGTCCTCGTAGAGGAGGGAGAGCTTGTACCTGAATAAAACTTGGTCTTAAAGCTGCCACTGGACTGTTTTGGACCGGGGGGCCGGGGGGGCTGTGCAGCTTACCTGGCTGCTTCCTGCTCTGACTGAGGGCTGCTGGGAGCAGGGGGCGGGGCTTGTTGCATGTGCCCTCCCCCTGGGCTCTTTACTGCTGGAGTGCCGCTCCTGTGCGCTCCTGCAGGAAATGACCCCTGACTGCCATAACAACGTGACCAGCCTTGCTGGCACCACAAGCCCTGCTGTTCTGGCTGCAGCCGAGTGGGACTGCCAGTCTTCCCGGCACCCATCTCTCTAGAAGGCTAGGGACAAGCAGCCGTGTCCGGCGGCAGCCCTGTTCGGTCCAGCGGGGCTTGTTTCCAGGTATGGATGCTGATCGTTGCAGCCCCAGATGGACCCCCCCGCCACAGCCACAGTCCTCTGCTTTGCATCCCAGAGGGGAAGGAGCCCTCTGCTCTGCAGCGGATGGAGGCGCTTTGGGAAAGCCAAGTGGGAAGGAGACTTGGCCACTGCACACACTGCTCCTTAGGCCCAGCCCCTGCCACCGAGCAGAGCAGGCTGAGGCTGCAGTAAAGTGACTGGGCGAAGATGCCTGGGGGCATGCTGTTCTCCCACCTGCTGGCACAAATTGCCACAGCCCTGCTACTTTTTTAAAAAGCGTGGGTCTACTTGGCTGGGCACAGTCTCCTCCGGCAGCAGCCTGCCCACTGCCGCTGTAAAAGAGACCACTGATCAGTGTCCCCTCTAAGCTGAGTGAGTGTGAGCTAGCTCACAGGTTTTTAAGTCTCCAGCTCACATTTCTTGTCTCGGCTCAGGAAGGAGGGCTCCAGAGCAAACTAATTTATGCAGTAGTGGCCAAATCGTTCACTCACAACTTTAATGCCAGGAGCTCACCAAGTAGTATTTTTGCTCACAAGACTCCACAGCTTAGAGGGAGGATTGCCACTGATCCCTGTTTGACTCTAGCACCCGATATGCAAGGCTAGACGGCCCCTGCCTGTGGAAGTTCCACCCCACCATCACCATGACCCTTGCTAGTCTTTGGCTTTGTGATGAGACAGACGGTACAGTTTTGTAAGTAAGCGTGAGTCCAGGCTGAGGACTTTCTCAAGAAGTAAATCCTGTACTTAACAATGGATCGGTGCAAAGGTACTCGGCAGACCTCTCTCCTGTCAGCAGGTAGATCAAGCTAACACTCAAAGAGGGAAAAGGCAAAGCAGAAACTGGAGGAAGAAACCTCTAGGCCCCAATTAGTTACTAGGGAACATCATAACACCCCCCCACACACACACAATATGTACTGGGTAACTTTGCAGCTGAATTAACACTCTAAGTACCCTCTCTCGCCTTTTGCAGCATATGATCAGTTGCCGTTGCTCGTCCAGCAGACAAAAGAGTCCAACCTTTTCTCCCTCCCCTCTAGGAAGCCCCCCCCTCACAGCCACAGGGACCCTCTCCATTGAAGTGGTGGAGGTCAACGACCATGCGCCGCTCCTGCTTCCAGGGTCTGGGGAGCTGTGCCAGCAGGGGGGCAGCCTGGTGCTGAGCGCCACCGACCAGGATCTGGCTCCCCACGCCGAACCCTTCCGCTTCCGTTTTGGCACCAGCGGGACCCCTCTGGCCCACAACTGGAGCCTCAGTCACTCCAACGGTAGGTTCGGGAGGACCCAGGCTTCCTGCATGCCTCCATCTGGGTGTATGTGTGTGCTTAGCTAGAACAGCGAACTGGATGGGCTAGCCTCTCCCTCCCCCCCC